TTAAACCGGAAGACTACGAAAGGTCTCTGTAATTTCTCTGATTTTCGAGTGAAGTATGAGGAAATTGTATTGGCTCACTTATATCGGGGAAGTCCCAAATATTTCCCTTTGCTAAGAGACTCATTTTAGGGCACCGAGAGACATGATTGGCTAGGTCCACTGCCCCGGCTTCCTCCCTGCTGCGTATGGATGCACATTGAAGCAGCTGAGGGCAATGCTTAGGCCTAGTGCCGGAAAACTGAATGGAAACCGTACAAGATGGAGTTCCTGTTTGGCAGTTTAACTGCCGATGATATAGGCAGATCACCTCAGAAAATGCCTCTGTTTCTGTCCTGTCTATAGAGGGGAAAAGTCTAAGCCTTCYTAAGGAACTTAGCAATGCCTTCAGCTCTCAGTAAGAAGCGTAGGTAACTAAGAAATCGGTTATGAGTTTGGTTCTATATTAAAAGAGTTAAAGCAAGGTCACTAGTGAGCACACTGCCGCTCTCTGTGTCTTCGTGTTCATTGCTCTGATWGTGAATAACAGTAGAGATAAAGTATTTTTTATGAAGCAAAACACACATGTTTTTCTCTGCCTCTTTTTGTGAATGTTTTTGTAAGCCCAGATATAGATCACCTTCCTTTGCAGCTCATTTATTGGCATGCAAGATAGGAAAAAAATCCAGTGCTTGGTAAGTGTAATCTTCAAAATCAAGACTGAGGCATGCATTCTGATTTCAGAGAGACAACAGTGAACATCAACTAATTCTTCAGGGATTGAAAGAATAATTTCACATTAATACTAATATTATAGCTGAGACTGTAATTTGCCCTTTCACCTTTTAAATTACCAGACTAGCATGTGCATATTTACTTTGATTAGTACCTTCAGATCATTCCTTCCATCATTCAAGGTTTGTCTTCTGTCTGCAGTAGAAGTCTTCCCCAGCCTTTTAGAAACCATACTGTGAACGTTACTTGTGGCTGCCCTTGGCAAATGTCTGACTCTGCTGTCTATAGCTATGTGCGGTCAGCGATGCAATGGACATTAACCACRTTGCCCGTGTCACGCCGGCCGACATGCTGCAACAGCAGCCGAGGGCAAAAGCTCTCCCATTGAAGGAAGGAAGCCGATGCTCTCTGTTTGCTGTGGTATCAATTTTGTGCAGGTTTGCGACAGACTGTAAGTTTCAACCCTTGGAATCTCCCTCCTGAAAGGTGGCATAGTGGAATTGGTTTGCCACAGAAGAGGAAAGAGAGGGACAGATTGTAGCGAGCTGGGAAGAATACTGCTACCGAAAAATGGACCGTTTGGGAAAAGKTGAATGCCGGTTGGCAAAAGGGACGAACAGGCATACCAGTCAGCTGCTATCCAAACTATGGGAATTTTGCATGGTACACAACAATGTGTTGGAGGGTTTAAGAAGTATGCTCGAGGAGCTCATTGACCRGTATTATCAGACAGGAAAGCCATTACCGAGCCCTGGCCTGATAAATGGTCAAATAGCCCTGAAGAATTCCATAACGTAATGCAAAGTGAGATAGCTGGGTACAGAACAGAAGATTACACTGGAGGAATGAGCAAAAACAGCCTGTTACCAGTCTCTTGCCATTCCTGAAAATCTCCAGATAAACATGCTTCATAAACATGTTTTTTAGAACAAACACAAAAGCAGACCATAATTAGCTGATTTGTGAACATTTTAGTTCAAGTTGTGCATGCCTTTCAGCAGTTACTTCTCCTTTTTGCCTGCCTCTGCCCCRGTCTCAGACTTTCAAGTGGTATCGTCTCTCACCAGTTGGGGTAAGCCAAGTGCTATGGAAAAGTAATAAGCTGAGTTATAAGATGCTGTGTGTGATGAAGCAGGTGCTGAGGAGGAGACGTGATTAAGGAACTGGTTTGGGTGAAGTGGCTGCAGATTTTTTTCCACTTCTTCTGTAACAGAGCACTTTGAGACAGGTGCTGACAAAAAAAAGTCCTATTGCCGAGGCCTTCCCTTTGGCTGGCGTTCTTGTGTAAGTTGGAGCTAGCCCAGAGTATCGGGTTGCTTTAAGCCATGAAAAGCTAGAACTCTGATCTGGAAAGAATTGGAACTGCCCGTGGAATGCTGTCAGACACACGATCGGGTAGTGATCASTAAGGAGAGGTTGACCGGGTCTCAGATACCTGAGATCGGTATTGAGAAAACAAAGTTTGCAGCCATGGCAGCGACTTGTCTCTTAAATGTTACCCTTTACGGGGCTTGGCATCCTGAGGTGTAATGGAGATCGTTAGTCCTTCTTGTGGCCAGCGAATGGGGCCAAAGAAGCCGAATATCTKGCGCAAATGGGGGAATGGCCGCTTCTGTTGCTGCTTTTGGATATATGTGATTGAGCATAAATCTGCAGACATGTGCCTCGTGTGTGCACTCTGTCACCTTCTGCCCCACTGATTTCAGTGTTACGATAATTCCCGGTACAAGCGAGAATGATGCAAAGAAGTTGCCTGTCAGTTATTCGAAACAACTGAGGCTCCTTGGCTGTTAGCCCACTTGGACTGATTGTTATCCTCAGCTGTTTTCAATAAGCTTTGCAGATTAGAACTAATGACCAAGAGAAGTCACTAAGAACATAACTCATGTTTTATATTTAGAATGTTTATCCTTCCTTAGCTGCTAAAAATTTGAAATTTTACATGCCATCATGCTGTAAACTTCATCTGAGGGGCAGCAGATCCCGTGTGCTCAACCTACCCTGTTTTAGAATGGGCTTCCAATACTTTGACTATCAAAAATCTTTCTGCACCTAAGACACGTCTTTAAATCCTTGTTGCATAAGTTCCAGTGGATTGCTTTGCTTTTAGATTAGTACATTTTAGTAGGCTGCATTTTCTCAAAGTCTGAAATGAGTATTTGTTGTGAAATTACGAAGTACGTTAACTGTCGGTATCCTAACCGGTTCTGTAAATTGTTCTAAATGCGTGAACGAGAGGCCATACTGGGGTTTTGTGATTACTCTATGGTTGCCGAGTCTGTAAACAGCAAAACAATTTGATTTGCTTGGCTCTACTAGACCTTGCTGAGATTAGGTTGGAAATTTTCTTTCAAAACGCCTTTTGTCAGAAAACTGAAATTTCAACTAGGTAGTTATTTTGTGGAAAAGAATGAGTTTTCTTCAGTAATTTAAAACRTTGTAAAAATGGAAATATTTACTATACAAGGGAGAGTATTTTCCAAATAATTATGCTATTAGTACTGTTAGCCAATAGCTGTCAGTGGTCAACTCTAATAATCTCACACACTTATGTATCATTTTTAGATAAAATTGCATATGTTAAGAAATTGCTGGTGAGCTAATGGTAATTGAATTCTGTTACTATTGCTTTAGGGTTTTACACGTACTGACTGGGGCAGAGCTCCGACTTTCCCTGTGCATTCTAGATTTACAGGCTCAGCTACTTGCTGCTTTAAAAGAACTACTATGGACAACTGTTAAATGTTGGCACCTTTCTGTAGAAAAATGACCGTAACAACTGTAAGGAAACAGTAATTGTCCTATAAGACATTGGCGTTTTTCTACAGCAGTCTTTAAGTGCTGTAAAATAGGTCTCACAGATGAGCTTGAGATAAAAGGGAGGGCACCGAAGGAGGAGTGCCTACAGTTGTACTGAGAGTAAAAAAGAAGAGATAACTTAGTATTTAAAGTTAATAGTAGCTTAGGTAAATGGCTTAGTATTACATACTAATACACACACATGTGTAACAGGAGAGTTTGTACATAGAAAAATCCTCAAGTACCAAAAGCTTTAAATTACAAGGTCCTATTTCCCTCCTGAAGGCTTTTGACACAAACCTGAAGGAATTATCTCAGTAATGTTCTGRAAATATCTGGGAGATGTGCTCGCAATTTTGTGCTCCTAATTTTGTGTGTAAGTGATTCAGTTTTGCATGTGAATGCGGTGCTCCCGAGAGAAAGGGGCAATGATTCAGTAATACGGTAAATCTTGTATGGTACCGAAGAAGTTGGAGCTACCTGACATAAAATGGTGACGCATACAGGCTATCTGATGGGGCAAATTTGCTTAAAGTGTTTTTCAGATTCCCTTTCTCCGTGAGGCTTTTTTTGTCCTGTGCTGCGATAAAGAATGCACCCGAGAGCATTCTGCAYCGCGGCTCTGGCTGGCCTGGCGGAAAGGTGTAGCTTACCCCTCACGCGCACAGACCGGCTGGATGACTTGGCAGCAAATTATGTCCCATGTTAAAAACTTTTTGTTTTTTTAAGGAATTAACTGAATCATATAAAACCAAATAGATTAGAAATCTTCTCCTGTGCTGTGSTATCAGCTGTTGCCAAGACCAGAATAATTTTCAAGCATGAGCCTGTTAACGATAACTTTCTTCAACAAGCCATAAGTCTTGCCTTMTCTAATATATCATCTGGTTTAGTTACACCGTAGTTGTTCACCATGAATTCAGGTATGAAAGGAAGACCTTATTTGTTTGYTATATTTTCAGAATCATTGCCATGAGAGGCTATAGCAGATGCTTCTTTTGCATAGCAGTAGCAAGCCTCCGAGGCTCTGGCTTTGCTGTGTGACATAGGCAGACAGTRCCAATGCCCGTCGAATTGCAGCCTGCAGTGGGAAACACTAAAGTGTGAGCTTGCTGTGTATAAGTTTCTGCGCACGAAAGCGTAAAAACTCTGTTGTTTGCCTAAGGGTGTAGGTGCGTGCATTTCTGTCTCTATGCCCTTAAAGAGCATTCTCTTCATCCACTGCCTCAGCGATCTTCGAGGAAGAATGCATACATCGCCATCATCGTCGTCTCAGCAACCCGGGAAGGACCTGGTACTAACCCCTCTTTGCGTCTCTCTCCTGTTCCTTCCCGACCCACATCTCCCACTTCTTCCTTCCCCCGCCGGCGCTGTCCCCCGCTCCGTGCCGTCTCGCTCCCGCGGTCCCGCCCCCAGCCCATCGCGCCCGGCCCTCTCGGGTCCTAAAGTCCCCGGGCAGCTGCCAACGAGCCCGTGCCCCCGCCCCTTCTCCCCTCTTCTTCCACCATTGCTCTCCGAAATTCCATTTCCCCCTGCCGAGCGGGGCTGACCGGGCGGCCGCACCGCCTGCGCTGCTCCTGCGCCGCAGCTGCCCCGGGCGCGGCGTGTGCCCCGCGGGGCTCCTCCTGCGCCCCGGGAGAACCGGCCGTGCCCGGGGGCCGGGCTASGGGCCGGGCTAGGGGCCGCCGGGACGCACGGGGAGTTCTCAAAGAGAAGGAGAGGCGGCGGCGAAAGGGGAGACGATYGGGTGTCTGCCGCTAGCGGCTCCCGAGCCTTCTGCGTCTCCGCCCGCGCAGCCTGCGGGCGGAGGACACCATGGCTGGCGAGACCGAAGATCTTAACAGCCGGGAGGCGCAGACCGTCTGCGACGGCCTGGGACGCTATGAGGATACGCTGCGGAGCGCCGTCCGCGAGATCCATGTGGACATCCAGCTGTTCAAGCAGGGGGTAGGCCGGCAGGTGGAGGAGGTGCTGCGCCTCGCCAGCCCCCTGGCACACACCGTCTCTGAGCTGCAGCAGGAGAACCGGCGTCTGCGGGCGCAGCTGGAGCGCCTGTCTCGGCAGGTGGAGGCCCTGGGCCGTTCGGCGGGGCTGCCCCGGGAGTGGGTGAACGAGGAGGAGAGCGCGCAGGCCGTGGGGCCCGGCTCGCCGGGGCAAGGTTCGGCCGACGGCACTTTGTCCAGTCATGCCAAGCTAGCTGGCCGGAGCCAAGTAAGTGGCCGGGGAGATGGCGGGAGGGAGGGCCGAGGGCGTGCATGCACGGGTGGTGCACGGTGTTGCCAGATTGCGTTGGCACCGGGGTAACGTTTAAGGACACGGGGTTCCTCTTTTGCAGCGCAGGGTCAGCTGTATTTTGGGAGGTGCTCTGAGAAATGATCATGGCCGTGATATCACCTGGAGATCTATTTGATTATGGCTCTGTTTGGTCAAACTGGGATCTTGGTTAGAGTGGTAGCAACCTGTCAGTTCGGTGCGGTTAGAAGTAAGAGAAGATGGGGCAGGCTTGGCTGTCAATACACATATGTATGGGAATACTTCTGTATCCTTTCTGGACTCGATTCTGGGGTATCTGTGTGCCAGCAATGCCGTTTGCGAGCTGGCCGACTGGCAAAGGGGGAACGGCTTAGCGTATAGCAGGCAGTAATGTTTCCCTAACTTAACATGCTGCGGTGAGASAGTTTTGCCGTCTGACCGCTGCCCCTCAACTGTTGCGGCTTGTGCCTGAGAGGTTGACACCAGCTGTCATGGTCTCCGTGACCTGAACTTAAACAGTCATTCCTCCCAGCAATAAAACTTCCCTCGGGGTAATGCAGCTTTGTGACATGAAACCCCAGTTAGTGGGAAGCTCATCTGGTAATCTGGTACTGAGATGTTTTGTGCAATCCTTGTTCTGTGTGTGTCTCTGCGAGAAGAGCTGAGGGMTCCCGTGAGATCCTCGATCCCAGGAGAGTGCGACCAGAGGGCACGCTGTGATTYGGTCACGTAACACTGGAGTACTAGAGACTTGCTTTCACAGATGACAGCCTGTTTCATGTGCTCTCRGTTAAGTGTGTCTTAAGGGGTTTTAAGAGTGGCGAAGCCTAAAAAACGGGTCTGTGGCCTATCCAGGCTTGGGATTAAAAGAGAAAAGCTTGGAAATTAAATTCACTAAAATTGGTGGGAATGAGCAGGGTCTGTATTTCATTTCAACAGCCTTTGAATAACTACTGACTTGTGAATGGGGGTGTGGGACTTCCTCCCTCTGGACAAATGGAAAGGTAAAGCTGCCATTTCATACATCGTAGCAACTGCCATCTCTTCCCCCATATGACAAAGGTAACCTGCATCTGTACAGCTTTCAGATTAGTTCCTGTTTCTTCCATCGAGCTATTCACACCTGTTTGTATTGCAAGGAGTAGAAGTAAGCTGAGCGATATGGAAAGGATGATGGATTGCGGTCCCTCAAACCTCTTTGCGTGCTCCGTCACAGCTGTCTATGCTGTGGTGTGTACCTCACAGTCTGTGAAAAGTCTTGTGTCAATGTTATGGCAGTACCCAGCTTTAGGTATYGGTCTGTGTTGAGGCACGGTGGGAACTTTTGTTTGGATGGGAACCTTCTCGCTTTGCTTTGAGCAAAGGGAAGATTGCTTATGYACCGAGTGTTCTTCAGTGCCCTCCCAACAGTTTATGTCAGAGAAGTTCCCAAGTTAGCCTAGCTGACCGAAAGGGAATTTCAGTACTGAGAACTATGGGACGTGCAGCTACAGTTATACATGCCTAATTCGTGCGGTGAAAATGTGATTTTGTGGGTCAGGTTCCACAGTGGCCACACACAAATGGTGAAAGAGAGAGCYATGGTTGCTGTGCCCGTCACCCAGATTCTCTGTAATGAACACTGTTCCTTCAGTTGATTCCAATTTCTGGTTATATGACCAAAATATTTGAAACAGAATACCATAAATGGCACTGTTTATGTTTTCAGATAAAAGAGTACCTTTGATAAAATTGGTGGCACTACTACTTTTAGTAAATGTTTCTCTAAGTATGATATATGAGAAGCAAATAATAGTGATCTGGAAATAGTAGCAAATCAAGCTGTGCTCTTTTGCTCCTGAAGAGATTTATTGGTTGAGTTCTTTTTCACTGTGTGGTCGACGCAACACTAATCTCGGGTACGGGAGTTTCTGTGATAGTTGGTGATTTCATAAAWGAATGACTGAAATCTCTCACTTGAGAGCGTAATCTCATTTGTGTCTGTAATTCTTGCATAATTTGACCTTGCTGCAGACAAAATCTTGAAGATAAAACAGACATGCATCTTAGAGGTTCAGGGAGGAAATGAAAATTGTATTTCTGTTTTTTCTAATCTTTTGATCCGGTGCTTGCCTTTTTCTGAATGCATATGATTTTCGCTACTGGCTTGCAGCTTCCTGTTACRGATCTGTAAAGTGTAACTTCTTTGCAGCAAAGGAGGAATTCCAGTGACCCTACTACTATAGAAATTATTATCATCCTCTATCACATGGAGACCTGTGAGCAACAGAGATTAGTTTTAAAAGCAAGCTTGGCTAAGGYGTGCAAAACATTAGCGTTAACTTTCTTTGTTTCAGCTTCTCCGGTTCTTAGTCATGTTACTGTTATGTGAGTTGTACAAGTGAGGTGTACTCGTTATTAAGTGTAGATATATCTAGTTATCCCTCTGCTATTTATAATCTAGGTAACAGGCACTGACAGAAGAAGTGTTGCTAAACACATGGGTTTGTCAGGAGCTTGGCATCTCCGAAGTGGATTTTTTGTCAGCCTGAGACTACTAAATGCATATCAGAATCTGATCCCAGATCCTCCCACTGTTCTGTCAGCACGTGGGCCTTCTTCCCCATCCTCCAGCCTGGTATCAGTTTCTTCTTTGACACCGTTAGCCAAAACGTAGTAATCAGGCTTGCATCGAATAAATTACCGCAGYGCTTGTCATTGCATTAGAAAGCCTGTTCAGCGTGTAGAACGCTGCGTGACCTTCGCAATGACTGTGTCATTTGACTATTTTCCTCACCTCCCCAGCTTAGAAAAGTCAATTCATATTTGCAGCCTGCACAGGTGTTCTATAGGTTCAGGCCATAACAGCTGACAGGAATGACTAAACAATTCTAACTCATGTGTATCATGGGTACGTTCCATGGAGCTGCATTAGCTTATGCTTTACATTTCAGTTCTGGATATGGGCAACAATTGTTGACTGGGATCTCAATTACACTAAAGACAGCAATAAAAGGTCTGAACCCCTGAATCTCTGTGGTTTCTRTTATTAGTATTTGTTCTGATTTTCTCAATCCTGGCAGCTATGATAACTGAGTTCATTCACACACACTTCAATATGAAAACGGGATACTTTTCTGCAGCAAACAGGAAAAAAACAAAAAAAACCCCAAAAAAGTAGAGCATTTTTCCATGCAATCTTGATCGATTTCTCCACTATTACAGAGTCTATGTTTATTACCATCACAGTGRATGGTATTATCTAACAAAAGAATAACACCTTCTAGGTACACGGGGAGCGTGTGAAGATGGATCGAAGTCCTGCGTTCCCGATGCTTCATTTGCAGGCTTGCCTCTTGTGGTTAGATAATTGTTTCCCTCTTTTGTTGCGGTCACTTGCACGAGGAAGACGTGTTCTTGGTAGGTGTTCCTGGATATTCTTCTTTCTTTTGCTGCTGTTTGAAACTCAGTTATCATGTCTGTTGTCTGTTCTGACAGAGCGTAGACCTGGATGACCACCGGAAACCTGAGTTCAGAAGAGTTTTTAGTTCTTCYATCATTGAAAATGGGTATCGATCTTCATCATCAGGTAGGAACAGGGCACAAAATGAAGTAGGGCTGCTTGTAAAATTCCTGATCCTGACAGTCACGGAGCAGGAGTCATATGTTGGAAGTGTTAGAGTCTGCTGCGGTTTCAGGGTGGATGTTGCCCTGTGGCACCGATGAATTGTTTCCTAATTGGGAGTTTAACTTTTAAGCTTCAACTTTACTGCTAAGCATGTATTGTGGTGTTTCATAAATTAGAGGCTGTTCCTGTCACGTTAACTTGGGGCACTAGCGATAAGGCCTGCTATGCTGGATGCCATTGTAGTCTTGCATCCCGAAACGTTTTGCAACTCACCYGTCTGCTTCTGTCATCCTTCAGTGGAGGAGGAACTCGCTATCTCTGTTTAGAGAAAACGGCCGTATGGTGTTTCACAAAGCCATGAAAAGAACAAAAATGCTGCCTTCTTATCCAGGACAGGAGATTGGAAGTTAGAGCTGCACAGAGGAAAAGAAGCTAGCAGATACAACTAGGTGTACAAAGCTTGCAAATACAACTAGCAAATGCTAGTTTTATTAATGATCTGCAAGCATTTTTTGCTGCTGAGATTCATGTACAATAAGTGTGACTGCCACAAGCATCACTGGTGTGAGGGTTGTTTCTGCTACGTAAATGGTCCAATGTTTCACAGGGACAACTATGTGGAATAAATCCCGTGACTTGTAAAATAAAGTTGTTACGTGGAAATTGGTTTRTAACTGTGCTATAAATCTGCAAACAAATTTATTATTTCTCTCTTGCTTTTTATACAGSTCAGGCAAAAGTGGCCTCCCGTGACCTGACCTGTTTTCAGATGTCAGAATCTTCTTCCCCTGAAGCCCATGCCCCTGCAGTCACCTTACAGATGCCCCACCTTCCCGTTACTGCAGTAACCAGGACACCTGAGAAGCTCTCAGGAGAGAACATCTGTTCGACAGGAACTGCTGCTGCATCTTCTGGCCTGCTGGGACACGGCAATAGCAAAAATACAATGGCAGTAAAAACTTCCAAGCAATCAGGTAAGAGAGACAAAAATAACTTGCTGAAGCTGCATCCCATTTCCTTCCTTCAGCTGTTGGTGCGAGTACTGTCCTGTGACCGAATGGTAATTACGAAACYTTGCTTCTACGACTGTATATATCCCATTGTGGGGCACTCCAGTTTGCAGTATTGCAGTATTTACTCCCCTCTAAAGCTGGGAGCTTTAGGCTGTAATGTCACTTGTGTGAAGACTTTTTGCTGCCTGATATAGTCGAGTTTTTAGTGACGCATATCTTATAGCGCAGTTACTGAATTCCATAAGTTTCCGAATGTCTTAAACGTGCCCAGCTATTTTAATGAAATTTGTAGATGTTTTTAGTGCTTTGATGTCCGAGGACCTGTAAGAAGTTAAGGGGCTGTTTGGCTAACAGATTCCAATCGTCATTTGGAGGAAGGAACGACCGCTGGTAGTCGTATGGAAGTTAGAGGCCTGCAGCTTTACAATGTAGTGAACAAAAATCAATGCCTGTCTATCCTTCAGGAAAGTTTCTATTTCACATAGCACATGGGGAAGGTTTCTGCACCAATGCATCTTGTCTTTTCTGATTTTATATAGAGAGTGCTGCTTCTGTCACCAAGTCTGTCTCAACCGTGAACTATGGGCTGCGTAGTGGAACCCAAAGTGGGGAAAGGTATGCAATATTCTTGACATTTTGTTAGGCCGTTGTGGTCAGTATAGTCTCGAGGKACAAGTGTTCTGCTGACTTAGAAAACAGGTGCATCTCAGATGCTGTATTGTAAGCATTGGATGTATAGTTGTGCACTAACCTGCTTGCCCCATTATCTTACATTAACCTAAATAGTACAATTAATGAATGTACTGTGTCCATCAACCTGTAAATGAGCATATACCTCCTAACCACACTTCTACTTTCAGGGAATAACCARTCGATGACTACTGGAATAATCACAGTCGGTACTAAAACCATCCTACTGATGTACGTCCACAGTCCTTTTCATTCAACACAGCAGTGCTAGTATGCAGACCCTGAGTGTTCTCAGGTGAAACATACGAGGTCATTCATTGTTTGTACTTCTCACGGGAAATCGGCGACCTGCTACATTTATCATGCTATATGTCTAGTTCCAGGACCACTCATTCCCCCTAACCCCGCTGTGTGACTTGCTATCTTGTGCGTGCGATTCCTATATCGGGGCTGTGTCTTGGTTAATCCTCACACCTTTCTTTTCACAAGACGTCTAGTAGGCTGTACATCAACATTGCACCTGTGATTACAGCTTTGAATAACCTTAGCATATTTGGCTCCTTTTTTTGGGGGAAGTTTCTTTGGGCTGCCCCGCCGATGCACTGAAGAACAAATGAGTCACTGCTGCTATATTTTAGTCCTGTTAAAGGCTGTRAACTTTCCTGTCGGCTAAGTGGAACAGAGATGGGAAGGGATAAAAATTTTGTAGAGCAGTTTCAAGTAGATCTAACTGTGGATTTCCACATTGTTTCAGTCTTAGTGCTTGAGAGAGGKGAACTTTTGTTACTATGGGAAAATTGCCAGGCCCTGTAAAAACAGATTTAAAAATCTTGTTGAAGATTCTGTGTTGCAATTGGTACTTTGGGCTTATTTTTGGAAACCAGCAAATGATTACCATTGAATGTCCTTAGTTTGGCTAGCCTAGAGTTTAATTTGAAGAGAAAGGCCTCGCTGAGGACTACTACAGATTCTTTATTAACGCAGAGTTGCAGTTGCATAGTAWAGGATTACATGGTATTGCAATTACTTCTGGTATATTCAGATATCGTTAATGTGCAACATATTCATCAAGGGAAAAATGGGAGAAGACAGGTTAAATCTCTTAAATTGGCCTTTTATCTGATGACAAACAATCCCAAATTAGGCATTACATTTGTTCTGAGGTAATTCAACATCAGCGCCTCAATAATTGAGTGATGATACTCTGCGCGTCCTAGAGAAGTTGGTGTCGTTCCGTACCTCTGTCTGTACCAGAAAATAACATGTGATGCCGATGACATTGTTCTTTGCCTGTTTCCCCATCTCTGTCATAGGGAACGTTTTCAAATGTAGCGTGTGTCTTGTTTAATTAATGCTGATGAGGCCTTATATGACTCAAATAAACACAAACTATAATCCTACTTTTCTCAATCAAATTACCAGCTTGCAGTTAGTGAAGCAACACTGACCTAAGATCAGAATTCTGTGCACTAGAAGTAAAAATTTCAAAAGTACTTCCTGAAATACRTTTAAGTTTCATTGTAAAAATGTGATAGTCTCCATAAATCAGMAAGTTGTAAATGGAAGGAATTTACTGCTCCTGTGTGGCCACAGCATTTTTTTCTTTTCCTCTTCTCTTTTTTTCTTGCAGGCTTTTAATTGTTGTTCTGCTCGGTGCTACAGAGTGCTTGTGACTTGTCCAGCTGTGTCTCATTTGTAATAGTACCTCAGGGTCTTCTATATTTAAGTGCTGTTGTGGGTAAATAATAACTTTATTACAATTGCTTTTGACTTACGTTGCTCCTCTTACGTTTACCACGTACTTTTTATCTTATGTTTCTCCAGTGCCATTGACAGTTACTGTGATGTGACCCCCAGCTCTCTCTCGCCTCCTCCTACCGTACATCGCCAAGTTGAAAGGAGGAGAGAACTGGTACGGTCTCAGACACTCCCACGGACTGCAGAAACACAGGCCAGGAAAGCGCTTCTCGAGAAATTTGAATGTGATGATGGAAAGTATGTCGCTCTCCTTGTCTCCAGAAGTGTTTGTTAATGGGAAACCACTTGGTCAGTTATTACTGACAGGAGAGTACAGCTGGGTGGGAGAACTCTCTCAGTGTAGGATTTGAAGATAAGGGACAAYGTGAGGTCACTTACAGTTTCGCTGACTTTACAGACCAAGCCTTGGAAATTCATATAGATTGCTCTGGCTTTGGAATTGTTCAGCTGAAGCCTTTCAGGTGCCTTTTATCAGGAAAGAGTTCCGTGAAAGCTGCCTTCTCCGTCACTATAGGAGACGGCAAATCTAGTGATTTTCTGCTGCAATTCATTGAGGATCAAAAGTATGGACTCTTCTTGGTGGGAGTAAGATTTAAGTAAAAGAGGGCTTGGAATTCTGGCTTTAGGGAAATAAAAMTTACTTTTTCTTGCAGGACTGACAAGTTGAGATTTCAGCAACACGTTTCTTGAATTACCATGTGGACGGGGCTGATCTGGGCAAGGTTGCATAGATGTTTCTGACAAGTACGTTTAAGCTTTTCTAGAATGTAATTTAATCTGGTCTCTGTTAATTTTCCAGAGGAAAGGGAGAATCCAGAGCTAAACTGAAGAGGTCGCTGAGCTTTGGGGTTGCCAGCGCTAGCAGCATTAAACAAATTCTGTTAGACTGGTGTCGCTCAAAAACCATGGGATACAAGGTGAAGATATGCTAACGCTTTCAGCTCTTTCTTTTTTTCAGGAGAATTTGCCAAAAATATGTGTTCAAAAGGCAAAGGTAAAATATGCTAGAGAATGAGTTAACTTCCTCGAGGGCATTGTTTTTTGTGTGGGTAACACAAACACGGTTTGCGTGGGCAACACTTCGAGTTGGTGATWGCATGAAGGAGATTCTATATGTTTATTACAACAGCACATTAGTGTTTTTCTGAAAGCTTACCTTTTTGTGCTTATGGATATAAACTTCAGTATATACTAAGACAATTTTTTTTCTTAATTGCAGGCTGTATTTTTTTGCCTTCACATTATATATTACGAGTTCTGAATACACGGAGACAATGGCCATTTTGCCACACACAGACCAAAGTATTGTGTTAGTATTTGACAAATGAACTTGTGGTGAATTGTTGAGTTTGAGTCGCACTGAGTAAATTTTTATGAGACAGCATCTTTGTAACTAAAAGGATACAGCAGCTGAGATTTTATTCATTTTACCTGGCCTTAAACTGCAATTRTCAAAGAAATACAGAATTTTCTTTTTCCTAGGGATTTTCTTTGTGTGTGTAGTATGTTTTTCAATGTTACTAAATGTGCATAAGTGTTGCTAAACTGTATGTTATATTATGCATAAGCAGAACTAATAAAAATTCCTCTTAATTGCTTATCAGAAAAGCTGGGGTTTGAATATTATACGATGGAGAAGCAGCATGAGACAGGAGCACAAATATGGTTCTTTCCACTGTGGCAGTTAAAAGTAAAGATGAGAATTTGCTTTAAGAATCAGGTTGTGCAGTAGGTRTTATTCTTCCTATATTTCTACCTATCTGTGTGTAAATGGATATTGAATTGGGCAAAGCAAGCAAGCATAGTCTTTATTTGGTGTTATTCRCAGCCACGAAATGAACTGTTCTTCAATTAAAAATCCTCCATAGGGTGATTATGATTATATATAATCAGTGGCCTCAGTTTCCACAGATACTGAGCTGATGCATCGGGCCAGCCAGCTCCAGAGCTTGCTGATGTTGATGAGATTCTTCATGATATTTTCAGTGGGTTTTGGATAGGGGACCTTGACTATGTGTCTGCTTTGCATCTGGACATTTCAGGCAAAAAGCTTTC